CCTCTGTTAAATTTAAAACCAGCTGCCCATCACATTGGTCAAGTAGCAATAGTATCTTTACTCTCTGCTGACCATCCCACCATCATTCTAGGATTACTGTTAACAAAAAATATACAAAATTAAAGCTGGCAGTGTTCTACAATCTAGAACTTAAAAGATTGAGAGGGGGTCAAGTGTTGGCGTCTCAATTTTTCACTTATCTGTCTTGTCTTGTAATTTCTTTCGTAGACCAAATGCTATGCAGAAGATAATTTTATACCAAAAAGTAATATAAATTTTGCCAGATAGATTCTTTCAAACAGTTATGTGGGGAAAATCGGTTGCCTCTGCACAAACTGGTGTTTTGTTATGTATATGTGGTATATGAAATTCTATCCTTATCCTCAAAGACATAGAGTCAGTGGCTTCCTTATGTAGACTAGAAGATGCAGAAACATATTATTTTATATTTTCTGCCTTTTATATTCCTACTACATTGCATTCAAAGAACATCCCCCCCCATCTTTCTCAACTCTTTTGAATTTGGGTCTGTCATTCTGGTTATAAAGTGATCATCAGCCTTCAGGGTGAGTGCAGTAGGTAAAAGGAGAGTGGTTCCTGCAAAAACTATAAAGTTTTAAGCATCTATCTATCTATCTCTCTATCTATCATCTATTATTGCTTGACACATGATAATTTTTTGAAAGCTGGAAAAAATGGGGTGATGTAAGGTTTATCATCATCAGAAAATTCTAGCCATCATATTCATACCGATTGATAGCTTCCATGCTGGTTGTTAAGTCACCTCGGGAGGTCACGATCCTAGGATGACAGAAAGAAGCTGTTCTTTGACTAGCTGAGGGCGTGTGAGTGGCTCATTCTGCTGGCACCCTCTACCTGTGAGCTGCCACCATGTTCAGTACTGAGAGCACAGTGAGGGGGAGCAGCACCTTCCTTCCTTCCCCTGATGGAGAAACGAGAGACTGCTTCTCAAAATACACTGGCTGTTTGAACTTGAACATAGATATCATGTCATGGAGTCTTAGGAAAGTATATTGTGTGTTTAAGTTGGAGAATCCTAGAAATAAGAACACGTGAGGAACCCTTCTAGATCCTCTCTTTTTCCTGGTGTGACTTGTTACCAAAGTCAGCATTTGTCTGAGATAAGGGTACAAGGCACATGAAGCCAATTTTAAAATAAGTCTTTTCTTTCCTCTTTTGGCTATATTTCTGTCTTTTAAAGAGTGTTCATCTATCCTGTATTCAGCTGTAACATTTTTTTATGTATCTGCTCTTTTGAGGAAAATTTGTCAATGCCATGATTCTAAAACTAATATTCTATTTAGAATAACAAGAAAAAATAATAATTACAGAAAGCAAACTTTAGAAATAGTGTGGTATTGTAATAGTGTTTATTGCTAAAAAAAAATCCCAAATGTAGTGGCCTCCTGTTATAAGACCAAGTAAACATCTTAGTCATATTAAGACACCTAAAGTGTCTGGGTTTTAAAGGCAATAAAAATGCATTAGGTAATGGTAACCAAGATTATTTTAGAAAATTATACATTTGCATAGCATTTTACTCTCTAAGGTGATTCTAATGTGCTACCAGGAGTTAGAATCACTGTGTTAGTGTTTCCATAATATTTTATGAGCTTGTAACATGCCCATTAAGTTGACCTTCCTTCCTTCACATCTCTGAGATTGTATATGCAATAGCAGTGGTCTCATTCTTGCTATTACACACTTACAAACACACACAAAATGTAAGGTGATAATGAGAGAGGCCTGCAAAGACAGTATCCCTACTTTAGAAAAGCTTTTAATTGAGTTGTGTAGACAGGTTATATAATCCATCTTTCCCACACATAGAAATTTTCATACACAAACATGCAGATTAACAATGTAAAAAATAGGAAAGTATAGATGTCACATTAGCAATATAGCTATTTGATACTGGAAAAGTAATCTGTAGATCTTGAGAGACGTTCGTAGGGCATCATAGAGTTGGGGAGGAGGGGTATAGGCTTGCCAAGGGGTGTGAATTGAAGGGGCAGTAGGTCGGAACATAGGAATCTTGAGATGTGGTTCTTATTTGCCTCTCACCCTGGCTCACAGATGAAATTATACGTATCATCATTGTAAACATCCAAAATGTGTGACAGCAGATCTAGTTGACCAAAACAAAATGAAACAAAACAAAAAAACCAAAAACCCACAAAAAAAAACCCAAAACCTGTAGTAAATTTACACATTATGAGTCACTCTGTGTCCACATAGACCTTTATTTAGTTACTCATTGAGTGTTAACTACTTTTTCCTCTCCAAAATCTTGGGTTTCTCAATAGCAGATTAGCAATTCCATTTTATTATAACTAGTATACTATTTGTGGTTTATAGCTGTGAAAGATTCAAGATTTGTTGTGCTTTGAAATCACTTTCTTCATAATAGTAGGCTTCTGGGAAAAATAAGTTCTTCAGTTTGAAAATGTAAGGATTCTTTTCCACCCTGGTGTGTTCCTGTGTAGACAACAGCACTACACCATCTGACCTGTTTGCTGATGTCTTCCTCTGTTTAGATTCCTTTTATTAGGGATGCCTTTTGTGATGTCTGTTACCTATTTAATAGTCCTAAGTAGAAATGCACATTGTTTTCCTGTTAAATATATAGGAGTTTCAGAAATCACTTGGAGCCAAGCATTCTGTCTATGACACCACCAACAGAACGGGACGTTCTCTGAAGGAGAAAACCTCCCTGGCTGATGACAACCTGAAACTGGATGACATGCTGAGTGAACTCAGAGACAAATGGGATACCATCTGTGGAAAATCTGTGGAAAGGTAAAATGTTCTTTAAGGCAGTTTGGTTACCTTGTAGGCTTCTTTCAAACATACAGTAGTGATGCTTTGTGGGAACTTTCTAGGAACCTAAATACCTCCTTTAAGAAGTTGTTTCTTCTCTCTAATGCCCCACTTACACAGTGTCTGTACGGAGAAGGCTTTGTTGTTCATTTTTACTTATTTTTAACTCCTCAGTTCACTCAAAAGTGGTATCATTCTCTAAGCATATTATCTGATAGCTGACTTGCTGTTGTTTTCCATAAGCTAATTTCCATGTAACTACTGGGGTGGTCTCTTTAAAAAGTAAGTTTGATCTTATCATTTCCCTTCCTCATACCTTTTAGGAACTTATTATACCTTGAGTGTGAGCCAAAACACAGGCTCCTTTATGTGTCGTGCAAGGTCCTACCAATCTGACCCCAGTGTTTGCTTCCAACTTCCATCTACTCCTTCCCAGTCTTCTTTCTCATTACACTTGAACCAGTTGAAATATGTAGTAGTAGAAGAATTCAAATATCTTAGAAATGTTTTCAAATATTTCATAGATCCATAGTCTAATTACTTTTGTCAGTATCAAGATTGAATGGAATATTATATTCTAATAATAAAATTATATTAGAAAAGGAAATTAAAATATATTCTAAAGAATATATGGAAGGAATATAGAAATTTGGGGGTTGGGTTTTAAAAAGCTTTAAAACCTGGGGCACCTGGGTGACTCAGTCGGTTAAGTGCCTGACTCTTGATTTCAGCTCAGGTCATGATCTCATGGTTCACTAGATCGAGCCTCTGGTCCAGCTCTGCATTGACAGCATAGAGCCTGTTTGGGATTCTCTTTCTCCCCTGCCTACTCATGCTCTCCTTCTTTCTCAAAATAAATAAATAAACATTAAAAAACATATTTAAAACCTTCAATATCAAAAGGTTATCTGCTTTTTTACTAAGTCATATAAATGACTTCATGGCAGAGAGATACGTGAATACAAGGGGATGAAGATGGGGCAGGCTAGGACTATAGACAACATTTGGCAGATTGAGGGATGATGAAAATGTTCAGTTTCTTGATCATGATGATAGTTACATGAGTCTATACATGTGTTAAAATTCATAGAACTGTACACCCAGAAAAGTTAAGCTTACTGTATGATAATTTAAAATATTAAAAAAAAATTTAGGGGTGCCTAGAAGGCTTAGTCGGTTCAACATCTGACTCTCGATTTTGGCTCAGGTCATGATCTCATGGTTTGTGCGTTCAAGCCCTGCATTGGGCTCTGTGCTGGCAGCATGGAGCCTGCTTGGGATTCTTTCTCTCCCTCTTTCTGCCCCTCTCCATTCATGCATGTTCTCTCTCAAAATAAATAAATAAACATTGAAACAATATATTAAAAATTTTAAGGCATATTTTTTTACGAAGAAACCAAAGGGCTATTGATTTCTAGAGGTGATGATGAGGGAATTTTCTGAGAACACATGCTATGTATTTAAGGAATAAAAAAGAAAATTTGAGAAAAGTTTTGTTATTTTCTAAGGAAAGCAAAGAAACAGCAGTGAGTACCAATGTATTATTTTTTCTTTGAGTACTCTCAACCTTCATAAATGGATTTTAGATTTTCAGATATGTAGGGTGGCTTTTTTGTTGCTCACATTGATTTTTCCACCTTCTTCCTCAGACAAAACAAACTGGAGGAAGCCCTGTTATTTTCTGGACAATTCACCGATGCCTTGCAGGCCCTCATTGATTGGCTGTATAGAGTTGAACCCCAGCTGGCAGAAGACCAGCCTGTCCATGGAGACATTGATTTAGTGATGAATCTGATCGATAATCACAAGGTATCATTATCTGGGACATTTTATTTATCTCATTTGATTATCATGAGTATAGAAGAAAATGTAACCCCTCAACTCAGCCTTTTAAAAACTAGAGACTGCATATCATACTGCATACCAGTCTTTAATAATGATATATGTGTACCTACGAGCAGAATCAGGAAGCCAACTTTAAAAGTGAGACAGAAAAGGTACTTTATCAGTGAGATACTTTTTTTTTTCTTTTTTCAACTTCCAAATCTAAAACCTTTTAGAACTTAGAAAATGATTTTATTCTCTGGTGCTTCATGTTCCAAGAATGTTTTACAGTCTTTCATTATTCGTGGAAAGAATTATGGAATATAATTTAAAATTCTTCATTCATTTACCCGGAACTTGGTCATTGCATAAGTGTATGGATTTGTAACATGATCTCTGGGGGTCAAGACAGGCTGCTTTTTTGTTTTTAAAAACTGTTTTAAACTTGCCCCTTTAACTGCAGCAATTGATGAGATATCAGTATACGCTGTGAGGGACTTGATTATTACTTCAGAAAAGCGGTTTCTTGCAACCTCCTGAAGGGTATTCAAAGTTTTTGTGCCGGTAAAAGGAATGTACAAGACATCCAGCTGATACGGAGTGTAAGGTCCTAAATTATGGTAAAATGTTGTATTACAACCTAAAGAACCTTGAAAACAACCTCGCGGGCACAGTACTAACGTGGAATGGTGGTATCAGAGTAGACTTTATATACAGGTATCATACAGCACTGTATGTGAATCTGTGTTGTGTTTCTTTCTCTTCATTATTTTTGAGTTCAGGAAATTCATTTCCTTTTAAAATGTTTTCTTTATATTTCCCTAGCTATCCTGTTTTGATCTTACCTATTCCTTTTTAAATGGTTGGTCCTTTCAGCATATTTATTTCCCCTCTCCTGGTTCTGTTATCTCATTATATCTATAAAAGAGTGTTACATTTGAATATTATCAAAAAATCAAAGAATAAATGAAGGACAGGGATCAGGCCTACAGAAATCAAAAATTTTAAGTTTTGTTACTTGCCTGTATTGAAACAAATGTTTTGTGCATGATTAATATAAACTTTTTTATGCCCTGGCATTCATTCAATGAGTAATGAATAGTGTAATGTTACTTTTTACATAAATGCCATTTGTATAAACTCACTGTCTAAACATTTACTCCCTTCGGCACTTGCCAGGTTTTTTTATATATTAAAGGTCATCAAGAATGAGTTAATCATTCAGCATTAGTAATGCAATTGGAAGGCTCAGGCTTAAGTATACAAAGTACATTGGAAAGTCCTCTCAGAACTATTGGACTTGTCCTATCACAAACAGATTGTATAGACACTGTATTTCCTATGCCTGTGTATGGATGTGTGTCTCTGTGTGTCTGTCTGTGTATCTGCAGGCACATCTCATTGAACACTATCAGAGTGAAATCAAGCAAAATCACACTATGTTTGGTTTGTTTTAGATGGACTCCTTTTTATGAATGATTTGATTGTCAGAATAGAAACTCATGGATATAGCCAAAATTATAAAATGTGATTAGTGATACTCATTTGTGACCATTTTTTAGAAAAATAAGTTAACTTTATTCTATACATAATATTAGTTACTTGAAAGATGTAGCTGCATATACAGAATTTTGGATCAGAAATGAAGTACCCTGGGCTCATTTCTTGGATTACGTCTGTGGTCAAAGGAAGCCAGTTCAACTCCTGGCACCTCAGAGTTCATCAAAATTAGGCAAGGGGTGGGGGGAAGCTTTTCTTCCAAAATGACAAAGATTTAAGACTCTAAAGTTTGACATTCTAGGTTAGCTCTCAGGATACTGTGAAAGTTGAAGCCATGCTACAGAGAAGAAGACTGCATGGCAAGTCCCTGTACAATTCCCTGCCATTACCTCCAAAACCCCCATGTGACAGCCAAGGACTGCTTAGTTATTTGTTAGTCTGTTAGATATGTTTATTAACTAAGAGTAATGAGGTAGCCAGCACATTCTAGGCACTTAGAGTAATGATTTGAGAGGAGCTGGGATGCCATACTAAAGAATCGTAGAAAAAAAAAGAATTTGATTCTTTTGTGTAAACTGAAATAAAGAATAGCTGCCAATATTTAAATCCAATGTGTCATTAAAAAAAATCGGGTTTGTTCACTCAGGAGAATGTTACAAGATTGAACAGATTTATACAAGACCGTGTTCTTAACAGTGCTCTGGTGGGAGCAGTGTGCCACGACTCAGCTTCTAAAGATTCTGTGAAAAGTGTGTGTCATTAAGCTGTAGGTCTTAGAGATTGGTACATGATGTCATGTGTATGTATATTCCAAGCAGTGTCTTTTACTGGCTTGATTTTATAATTAAAAATTAATTTTTCTAAAAACATGGTCTTTTAGGCTTTCCAGAAAGAACTGGGGAAGAGGACCAGCAGCGTGCAGGCCCTGAAGCGCTCGGCACGAGAGCTCATAGAGGGCAGCCGAGACGACTCCTCCTGGGTCAAGGTCCAGATGCAGGAACTAAGCACACGCTGGGAGACTGTGTGTGCACTTTCTATATCAAAGCAGACCCGATTGGAAGCAGCCCTGCGTCAGGTAAATGTCATGGAAATTGCATCTGGACATAGTGAGAAAGGTTTCGAAGCCTCAACGAGAACTGCTCTTGTGAGGAACTGTTCCGTTCCCCCTTTTCTTAACTGGGACAGTCATGAGAAGGAGATTCTTAGAACATCCTTGCCTTGGTCTTCCTGACAAGAATTTAAATTACTCACGGAGAAAGTTGCCTCATCTTTACATAAAAGTGCTGCTCTATTAATTTTTCAGCTTCAATGTGCAATGGGCTGCCCTGTATCTAAAATCAGATTGTTCAAATGGTGAATTAATCTTCATATAGGCCTCTGTGATATATTAGAGGTATTACATTTGTAAAATGTAGTACCATATATCTTTATCTTTTTAATGGGAATAATGCATATCATTAATCAGTTTAAGACTTTTTCACTGAGAAGAGAAATCTATACTAACAAGCATATTTGGGGATCTTATTTGCGGTGTGTGTGTGTGTGTGAACTATTAGGCAGAGGAATTTCACTCGGTGGTGCATGCCCTCCTGGAGTGGCTGGCCGAGGCGGAGCAAACCCTTCGTTTCCATGGCGCTCTCCCAGATGATGAGGATGCTCTTCGGACTCTCATTGATCAGCATAAAGTGAGTTATATAGATGCTAAGTAAAACTAAATGAGAAAATCAAGTAGACCCAGGATCATAAATTTCAAATGGATGAATATTTCCCTCCCTGAGAAGTAATTAAAGATACTGGTACAGTTGAGAATTTACCTGTGTCCTCCTGGCTTACATAGGTATGTTCCCATGCCCCTACATATGTATAGCTATCTTTTCATGGTTTCTTTATGAAGAGGTGGTTATTCTAAAATCAGGGAATTTTCTAGGGAGTTATTTGGCTTCTGACCAAAACTGGCCGATTTCATTGCACTTGTATGTGCATTTCAAAGACGAAACTTCCGTAATGAGCGTTTGGCATTTATAAATTTATTTATAATGCATTGGAATTGTAAGTTAATAATTTTGACCTTTGTAAGTAAGACAAGTAACTGAATAACTTGTTCAAATTTTATTTTTAAATCTCTGTCAATTCTGGTTTTAATTGAGATCCACTTCAATTCTTTTGAGAAGTAGCCTGTAGTATAAATTATAAATTAAAAATGAATTCTGTAAGTAGATGCACTGTTGAACAGTTAACCAAAGTAAAAATCTGGCCACTGAGTTTTCAGGTCATCCTGTATTTTGTAACAGGTGTGTAGAACTAGCAAAACCCTTAAGAGAGTGGTCCAGATACATGTTAACACATGTTTTTTGTTTGTTTGTTTTTTTAACCCTCGACTTTAAAGAATTAGGAATTTGCAATGCTAACTCTCAATGCAATATTGATGTCAACATTTCCATTTAAAAGTTCTGTTTAACACCACAGAATAAGCTTATCTTTCATGGTCAAGTTGGAAATACATCATGAGTTCTGGTGTCACATGGATTCCATCATTTGTGGAGACTGCTTACAGTGATTACTGATGGATTGCCTAACCTATAGCAATGAAATCTTGCCTTGTCATTAACAAAAGTGATGCGAGCTTGTCTAACATTATCTGGAAGAATGAAATGCTACATAAACCATTTAAATTTGAAGCAGAATATAAGAGTAGGAAAATTGCAGCAAATTTATTGTGAATTTTTGATTCAATTCAATGTTTTGAAAATCTCTTACATTACTCTTGGCTGACCATCAGCCAGCATCGAGTTCCACTAACATACTTTGGTCTTAGAATAGCCTCTTGGAGCCCAGGCTGCATGTCTGACACCTTACAGAAAGGAGCCTCATGGTGGTATCTCCACCCTCACAGCAGCAAGGAACCCCCAGAAACACCAGGAGGCAGGTATTGAGAGCAGAGGTAGTGTTGTGGGGTTTTTTATTTGTTTGTTTGTTTGTTTTTTACAACAAATTATCCTTATAAATATTTTATTTATTTATTTATTTTAGTGAGAGACTGAGAGCAAGCAGGGCAGGGGCAGGTCCTAAGCAGGCTCCCCACTGCCAGCATGGAGCTCTAACTCATGAACCATGAGATCATGACCTGAGCTGAAATAGAGTTGGATGCTTAACCTGTTGAGCCACCCAGGCACCCCAATATTTTTAAATAGTGAAAAATTACATGTAATTTTATAAAAGTGGTGCTTAGTAATAATAATTTGCAGTAGCATCATCCATTCTTTCTGATCTCCTGCTTCCTTCATACTCCGACCAAATAAAAGTAAAACAGAGTATTTAAATTCTTAGCTCCAGGACTAGAGGCTTCTCGGTATAGTCCACTCTGTAAAACTGGCAAGCTTTCCCAGGTGAGCACTAACCACTTAGCACTCAGGGTTGGAAGAGCACAGAATGCAAGCAGGGAGTTGCTAGTCCAGTCGACAGCATTCTGGGCAGGACTCTGGCTCTGCTAGGTTAGGAGTGATGTAAAAGTACGTGGTCAGGTCACCTGTCCTTGGAAGAGCACAGCTGTTGTTGACCTCTTCCAGTAGGTCAACCTGTTACTGACCTGTTAAAGTTTTTTGTTTTTTTTCCCAGTAAAGTTTTTGTTTTCCTTCCAGTTAAGTGGATCTATATTGGGGAAAATTAAAATACTTTTAAAAGTAGGTCATGGTATTTAAAAAGTAGGTCATGTTAATGGAGTATATTGTTAATCAAGCCTTGATGCCACAGCAGGAAAAATGTGTAAATAAAAGTGAAAAAAAAAAAGCATTTATTCAGTCACAAAGACTCACAATTGAATAAGACACAGCCTTCTGATCTTGTGGACCTTAATATCCAGTAGATACCTATATGAACAGGTTAGTTTAGCAAAATACCAGAGTAGGAGCTATGTGACAGCTTCACAGACCTGGAAAACAAGACACTGTAGGAAACACATTTTCAAATCATCACCTTGATCACATGGCATGAGTAGTACTGATCGTCAACTGTGTCTGCAGCCCTTTGTCAGCCTGACTGAGGGATTGGGTGCTAGTAGATGCCTGACATTCATTATGGGGTTTTGGAAGCATGTGACCTTTTTTAAGGCAGAGGTGCTCATTTGTAACCACACTTTCAGAGTTCCGTGACCCATGTATCTATGAATTACAGTTCAGATGGTGTAAAGTACAGGTAGATGTGTAAGACATTTGCCAAAAGGTGATTCGAAAGCTTCTCGAAGCCTTTTAAGGTTTATTCACCCCTCCAGGGCAGAGAATGGCTGTTACTAGCCTCTGAAAGGGACTCTTCTCACACAGGCTGTCTGGTGATCAGGCCCCCAGCACCTCTAGCCTCTCCCTGACTCCTTCCTGCTAGACATTTGGGCCCCCTCACCCCAAATATTTATCATTTCTTGTTGAGCCTTCTCTCTTCCATGGCATTTTTTGGGTACATATCCCTATAATTCCTGGCACAGTTCATGCTATTTTAAATATACAACCTTCTTGTCTTCTTTGTTAGAACATATTTTTCTGCAATCAATATTATTTCTGTCTGTGCTATTACTGTCTCTCTTGGTCCTGTTCTCCATGAATATAATATATCCAGATCTAGAAGAATGTATTTTTTGTGTAACATACTTTGTAAAGCAGGAGATGTCACCCTATCCTCGAACTTTGAAATACTTGTTAGGAAGTACTTCATTTCCCATTTTTGTCCCTTCTCTCTTAATGCCCCAATTAGTGAATTTCTTCCAGCTGTGAATAAACCAATTGAAGTTCTTCTTTATTTAACTCTGACAGTCACATACACATCCCTGGAGTTTTGTTTTCAGCCAGTGCCAACAGTTAATCGAAGTCTTTCTTTCTGCTGTAGGAATTCATGAAGAAACTGGAAGAAAAAAGAGCCGCACTGAATAAAGCTACCAGCATGGGAGATGCCGTTTTGGCCATGTGCCATCCTGACTCCATCACCACCATTAAGCACTGGATAACCATCATCCGGGCCAGGTTTGAGGAGGTCAGTGTGTCTGAGGTCATCATTAGAGCAGCAACAGCTTTGAGAATGAGGGTGTGGAAACTTGGGCAACTGCGATACATTTATGACCGTGGGAACATGAGGCCTCTGCAAAGAAAAATGCTCTTTAAAATACCTTCCAGTGTGCATTACCTGTCTCTGAAGTCCACTTTTATTTTTAAAAGTTGAAATAGTTTTGCAGCTATGCCCCTGCAACATGGAAAGGCAAATATTTGGTTCACTGTATTACTTTCTGTCCCACTTACACACTGTCTCTGTTGGATAAGCCAGCACTTGAATTGTATTTCAGACGAGCGTATGCTTGTGGAATGAAGTGCATGCATGAACTGAATTCTGTATCTTAAGATTTTAGCTATTTTTATTTCTGCTCAGTGCTACATGGAATAAGCATACCTGATCCTTCAGAGAATGCATGTTTGAATTTTTTAACATTTGTTTATTTATTTATTTTAACATTTATTTATTTTTGAGAGACAGAGAGAGGCAGAGTATGAGCAGGGGAGGGGGAGAGAGAGAGAGAGGGAGACACAGAATCTGAAGTAGGCTCCAGGCTCTCAGTTGTTTATTAGCACAGAGCCCAACGCGCGGCTCGAACTCACGAACTGCAAGACCGTGACCTGAGCTAAAATCAGACACTCAACCGACTGATCCACCCAGGTGCCCCAATGTTTCTTTTTGGGAGAGAGAGAGCACGAGCAGGGGAGGGGCAGTTGGAGAGGGGGCCCTGAGGATCCATAGTGGTCTCTGTGCTGACAGTAGTGAGCCTGATGCAGGACTCGAACCCATGAACCGCAAGATCATGACCTCAGCCCAAGTTGGACACTTAACCGACTGACCCACCCAGGCGCCCCCAGCAAGTGCATATTTGAACTTAAATTAGAAAACAAGAGGAAACCTGGGATGTGTATGACATCCATCTCCGCAAGCTGGCTCTTGGTACCACGGATGGGATATAGAAAGACTGGAAGTATTATGAGTCCGGCCCAGGATGATCCCAATTTACATTTAAATTTTGTGGTTTTTATATCAATTAAATAATTAAGATGAAAGAAATTCAGGGAAATTTTTGTTTTTCCCCAACAGGTGTTGGCCTGGGCAAAGCAGCATCAACAGAGATTAGCAAGTGCTCTGGCTGGGCTCATTGCTAAACAGGAATTGTTGGAAGCTTTGCTGGCTTGGCTGCAATGGGCTGAAACCACGTTGAGTGATAAGGACAAGGAAGTCATCCCCCAGGAAATCGAAGAGGTGAAAGCCCTCATTGCAGAGCACCAGGTAAAATAAATCTCATCCTAACCCCTGGTTCTTTATTTCACCACCATACTGCTCAAAAGACTGCTTTGTGCTTGTTACCTTCATGTCCTCAAGTCGTTCCTCCTGGGTTTCTAATTCCTTACCTTTATTTTCAGCTCTGTCCCATCCTGTTCTCTCTTTCGGCGATCTCCCTTTTTTATTGCTCCCTGCTTGTGTATTCCACTGTCTGGTGCTGAGCATCTCCCGTGATGTCCACCAGTACGCCAGTATTTCAAATATATCCTGTCTACAAGGGAATGCATCGTCTTGTTAAGAAAAAAAAAAAAAAAAGCTACTGCTCTATCCTAATCTGTTTTAAACTTTGAAATGATGGGCGTCACATTAACGCTGACTTATTTGTTTGCTTGTTAGTCTGTTTAATATATATTATTAAAGGTCAGCTTAGTTGGCTGAGAGTTAACATCGCTATTATATCTTAATGAAGGTATGAGCCATCCATGTCCGAAATGGCCCTGAAGTGCCTCACGCCATGTTCTCTGTGATGAGAGCTCTTCCATGTGACAGATACTCCAGAAATGTGTTACTCCACTTTTCACTTTTATCCCCCTCCTCTTTTTTTCACCCCTTTTCACCACAATCTGTGCCTTTGCCACATATTCCAGATATTGGGATATGTAAGTCAGTAAGCCTAAGGACATGAGATAAGAAATGGCAAGATAGTCAAACCTGTTAAATGGAAACTTTAACCTGAATAACTTTTATCTGCTTTGGCATAGCATATATGTTAACAGGACTATTTAAAATATATCCACATTTAATGTGGATGCTTTACATCACTGTACATCAGAGCCATCTTAAAAATTTCAAATATGTAAGTGAAATGTGCTACAAAGAAGTTCTAAGCACCAACCCAGTTAACTAGTTGCTTTGCAGATAAATGCTCACTTTAAGATTCTTCAGAAAGAGCTTGGGCTGATACCCAGGCAGATTATGTGTGGTCTTCAAACTAAAACAAATTACTGTTACAATGCTGAAATTACTTAACAGGTATCACATTTTATATTCTTTACATATGAGTAAATGCTTTGTTATGTGGGCTTACATTTTTTCCCCCAAAGATGCAACATGTTTATTCCTTTTTCCAGAAATAATAGCATGGTCCTTTTATCCTTTTGTTTTTAGTTCACTTCTAAAGATAGTTTTCTCTGATATGCTTGTATTTAATTGACATTGACATTTCAGACCTTCATGGAGGAAATGACCAGAAAACAACCTGATGTGGATAAAGTTACCAAGACCTACAAGAGGAGGGCAGCTGATCCTGCCTCATTACAGTCCCATATTCCAGTCCTGGATAAGGGACGAGCAGGAAGTAAGCAGTGGCTAATTTCTTTAATTATTATTATTTATTATTTTTTCTTTTTAGAGAGAAAGAATGCGAGGAGGGGAGAGGGGCAGAGGGAGAGAGAAAGTATCCTAAGCAGGATCCACACTCAACACAGAGCCTGACATGGGGCTCGATCCCACAACCCTGGGATCATGACCTGAGCTGAAAGCAAGAGTTGGACACCCATCCTGCTGAGCCATACAGGCGCCCCCTGATTTCTTTAAAATGAATATGGTTAAGCAAGGAAGTTAGTTTTGAATTGTCGTTTGAAATTTTAGAACAATTGGTGATTCTGTGAGCTCTCTATCATAAAAGGTTTCCTTGAAAGAATACGTGGGCTCAAATATTGTAGCAACTTATTTAAAAATAAAGAAAAAGATCTATCCAGGTCTCTGTGTGTAAATTTATTTGCTTGAAGGGTATCTTTTAGATTAGTTAGAAGAAACTGGAAAAAATTTGCAACAAGAACAGAAATCATCATCTCCATTTGCTTTCATTATATAACTAGCCCTAAGATGGAATATAACAGAAATAACCATGACTTGGGTAAAGTTCATGACCTAACTATTCACTGGTGACCAGCAGTCCAATAGATTTTGCCCATGTTCATATGACTTCAGGTTCTATTTACTTCTCAGACTATCTTGACTCCACAAAAGAGTGTCAAAAGTGACACTTAAAACAATAATAGCTGGTTTGGAGAAGATTTAAAATAAGCAAAATTTATCTCTGAATAGTGGTATATTTGATGTATTTCTGAATAGTGCCTTAATTAAAAAAATGGTTTCAGATCTTTTAGTTACTGTATTGCACAAGGGGGCAAGGTAACAATGTGATTAAGAACTCTGGAGACAGACTCCTTGGCTCTTCTCATGACTTACCAACTAGGGAGATATAACCTTAGACAAGTTACTTAAACTCTGTCTGAGCCTCAATTTACTCATCTGTATAAGGGAATAATTATAACTTCATTGGATTCTGGTAACAATTAAATGAGCTGATGTGTGTGAGGTGGTTAGTATACTTCTTGGCATGTAGTTAAATGCTCAATAAATATTAGCTATTGATAACTCCAATAGGAGTTAGGAACTCTGGGCATTTCCCAGCTTGGACACTCACTTCCTGTATGACTTTAGGCCAGTAGTTTTTCTAGGCCACATTTAATCAGGTAGATGAGGAAAATGCATTGAGACAATTGTTCTGTGACATTATAAAAACTTGTGAAAAATAGCCAGAAAAGAGGGAGAAAACTTTAGTAAGGCAGGAAATTGGGGTATGAGACTATGCACGGGAAACATGCAATCTCAGCGGGAAATGGATTTGGATGAACACTGGGATTTTACACACACTTAGATATTTGAGTGGAATTTGTAAAGTATCTTGCTCTGACTCTAATGAATGGCCAGTGTCTCCTGCCCTCACCTGCCCTCCTTTCAGCCTTTTTTTCTAAGAAGGGCACCTGAGTTTGTGTAGCTTATTCTAAGTCAAGTCTCACTGTCCTGGGAGATCTCTTTTATCATCCCTTAACAAGAGAGAAGATCACAAGGTAATTCATTGTCATTGAAATGGCATGGATTTTAAGCTGGAAAATGCTTTTAAACATAATTTTATAAGAGATCATTCCAGTATTTAAATGCCCTTGTCAAGATATGTTTCTCTAATTTATACAAAAGATCCTTGGTAAGTAAAACAGATTTGGACTTGAACATTATGCATCATCTAAATAGGATATTTCTAAATAATTAAGGTGATTCAGTCTTAGCTGGGAACGATAAAGGCCCGGCCTTAACATATTTCAGAACCCTGGAAACTGCCCTCCTAACTAAAGTTGTATTTTAACAGGAAAGCGCTTCCCAGCATCAAGCTTATATCCCTCTGGATCACAGACACAAATCGAAACCAAGAATCCCAGGGTCAACTTGTTGGTGAGCAAATGGCAGCAAGTTTGGCTCCTCGCACTGGAAAGAAGGAGGAAGCTTAATGATGCCTTGGACAGACTGGAAGAGGTTAGAAAACTCATACATTCTGCACCCCTGATATAAGGGATATGGGTTTAGGGAATCAGTATAATAAAAAATTATAATTGACCCTTGAACAACATGAGCGTTAGAGGCACCAACACCCTTCCACACACCGCATAGTCAAAAATCTACGTATAACGTTTGACTCCCCCAAAACTTAACTGCTTAATAGCCTACTGTTGACCAGAATCCTTACTGATAACAATCAATTAACACAAATTTTGTATATTTGTTATATACTGTGTTCTTACAATCAAATACGCTAGAAGAGGGGAAATGTTATTGAGAAAATTCACAAGAAAAAAATCACAAGGAAGAGAAAATACGTCTTTTTTTATTTTGTAAAAAACCTGCATGTAAGTGGATCCACACAATTCAAACCCATATTGTTGAAGGGTCAAACTATAATGTTTAAACATAAGCAGAAGCTGACTCCTTAAGAAAAGGAATCAGATCCAGCTTGGGGCGCCTGGGTGGCTCAGTCAGTTGAGCATTCGACTCTTGATTTTGCCTCAGGTCATGATCTCATGGTTCATGAGTTCAAGCGCCATGTTGGGCTCTGTGCTGGTGGCATGGAGCCTGCTTGGGATTCTCTCTCTCCCTTTCCTCTGCCCCTCCCCTGCTCGCTCTCTCTCTCTCTCTCTCTCTCTCTCAAATAAAATTTTTAAAAAAATTAAAAAGAAAAGATCCAGCTTGACATATGTTTGCTTGGTATTACCTGGAAAATGTAACCGTTTATAGTTCAGATATTTTCATTATTTATATTCTGTGATCTGAGATTTAGAGTTTCAGATTCTGAAACTGGGAAATTTTTAGAAGCCGAAAGGAGGTAGAATGACAAATAGCAGAGAGAGAACAGAGGTAAGTGCTACCACGCTGGGCCTGGTGCTCAGTGGGCAGAGAACTTTCTAGAGGTGTTATTACTTTGGGGCATGATCACATTGGCATGATCAGAAATTTTCAGTTTGAGGGTGCCTGGGGGGCTCAGTTTGTTGAGCATCCAGCTCTTGATCTTGGCCCAGGTCTTGATCTCACAATTCGTGAGTTCAAGCCCCACATTGGGCTCTGCACTGACAGCACAGAGTCTCCTTGGGATTCTCTCTCTCTCTCTCTCTCTCTCTCTCTCCCCCTCTCTCCCCCTCCCCCTCTCTCTGCCCCATCCCCAGCTTGTGTTCTCTCTGTCTCTGTCTCTGTCTTTGTCTCTCTCTCAAAATAAATAAATAAAAACTTAAAAAAAATTTTTTTTCAGTTTGACTTTTTGAGGAACTTTTATTTGTAAAGAAAAGCCAGTGACACTAGTGAAATTACAGGAAAAATGTTTCTGAGTTCTCTGTGCAAGATCATACCTTTGTTTGAAGTGGGAAAGATAGGTGCTTTATCTAGAAGATCATTAAAAATAACTTTATTCATAAAGTGTAAGATATAATTTGAGCACTGAATTAACCAAAATACATTTGTCCTTTCCAGCTGAGGGAATTTGCTAACTTTGATTTTGATATCTGGCGCAAAAAATACATGAGATGGATGAATCATAAGAAATCTCGAGTGATGGACTTCTTCAGGAGAATTGATAAAGATCAGGATGGGAAAATAACCCGACAAGAATTTATTGATGGAATTCTTTCCTCAAGTAAGTCCCAACAGGGGTGACTGTAAATGATGTAATTTTTAAAGAAAATAAGCACCGTTTAAACTTGTGTTACCAATAAAGCATCGCCTTTAAACTTGGCTGTGAAGTCACAGCCCTCAGTGAAAAGTGCCCTTGGTAAAATTCATGGGCTTGGATTCAGGCACACTTGTAATTGTGTAACCACAATTAGTATATTCCTTGTTCCACTGCAGCTGTGTCCTCATTAGGATAATAAACTTAATAATATTTGATTCTTAGATTGTTTGGCCTGACATATAATGGGAAATCAATAAACGCAAGTCAGTCTCTTCCCTTTTTTTTGTTCTAATTGACATTCTGATCATTGTCATTAGTAGGAAATTAGAACTCTTTAAAAATTCTTAAGGTATTTGTCACCTTATTGGTAGTTTAGCCATATGGATGTGCCTTCTCTGGAAGATGTTACTGGAAGTAATTCTTAAAGGAAATTTAATACAATCATATGAATGTGTATATTCATATGTATAAAATCCATATATTCCTTAAGTGGTAGTTGAACCGTATGAAACTTAACTAATATGAAACAGTTTTTGAACTAGAAAAATAGCAGTTTCAAGTGATTCACCCTGGTGTAGTCATTAAAGATAAATGTAGGTCCTATACACTGGTTTTGTTTGTTTCGATGTCAATCGGCTTCTTAAAAGGATTTTAATATATTTGATGACCCTGATAATTTAACTGGCAGCATTAAGATCAAAATAATACAATCAAGAATGTCTTGAGGCAGAATTAACATGTTATACCTCTTCCTTTTTTTTTTTTAAAGCTTAAATCTTTTTGTCAAATGTTACTGTAAATAGCTAGGTTTTTAAAAACTTTCATTGGGGGGGCGCCTGGGTGGCGCAGTCGGTTAAGCGTCCGACTTCAGCCAGGTCACGATCTCGCGGTCCGTGAGTTCGAGCCCCGCGTCAGGCTCTGGGCTGATGGCTCAGAGCCTGGAGCCTGTTTCCGATTCTGTGTCTTCCTCTCTCTCTGCCCCTCCCCCGTTCATGCTCTGTCTCTCTCTGTCCCAAAAATAAATAAACGTTGAAAAAAAAAATTTAAAAACTTTCATTGGGAATGTAGTATGGCTTATTCTGAGAGTATTCTAATTATCATTCATACGTGGAATCTAAATACAGAGTTAAACTCAGAGTGGAAAAGTGGTTGCCAGGGTCTGGGGGTGGGGGTGAGGGGAAATAGGGAGAGTCTGGTACAAGAGTACAATCTTTCACCGTATGGTGAGTAAGGTCTGAGGTTCTAAAGTATAATGTGGTGACTATAGTTGATAATACTGTACTGTGTCATTGAAATTTTCTAAGTGAGTAGAACTTAAGTTTTCAGAAAAACAAAACAAAACGAAAAGATAAATATGTGAGGTGATGGATGTGTTAGCTAACTTGATGGGAGGAATCCTTTCACAGTGTGTACATGTATCAAATCATCACAATATACACTTTTCATTGTCTTATAATTTTATTTGTCAGTTATACCTCAGTAATGCTATTTACTATTATCTGAAAATTTTAGAGTTTCCAACCAGCCGCCTGGAGATGAGCGCAGTTGCAGACATCTTTGACCGAGACGGCGATGGATACATTGACTACTATGAGTTTGTAGCGGCCCTTCATCCGAATAAAGATGCATATAAACCTGTCACTGACGCCGACAAAATCGAGGATGAGGTATCATGATCTTTCCGCCACCTGCAACAACATCTTGTGCTGCCAGGATATCCTGCACAACCCATGCAGCCGTTTTATTTATTTCATTTTGAGTTGTCCTGTCAAGGTTTTAAGGATTCCGCAGTGTGTAATAACATTAAAGTGGACATTTCATTGTTCTTTTTGGCAGGTGACAAGACAAGTAGCTAAGTGTAAATGTGCAAAACGATTTCAAGTTGAACAGATCGGAGATAACAAATACAGGGTAAGTCTGCAAAATAACGATTTAGTTCTCTTGAAGGAGAAAAATTGAAATTTGTATGCAATTTGATCTGCATTGCTTTCCAGGCCCTCACATCACAATATAGTGGTCTATAAAATTCCAACTTTTGTCATTTTACATTCTATAAACATAGCCTGCATTTTGTAAATTAGGACATATCTTTGACATGTACGTTACTTTTAAGGAGGAAAACACATCTCACATACTCAAGTTGGTTCGTGTGACTTATAATATATTTTATTATAACTACAGGTAAGTTTTCATATTTCTAGTAACAAAGCTATTCCAAGCCAGAACCATAAAGTTAAAAATGTTGACTCATTTTTAGAAAAGTGAAAAAAGAGGCAATGTTTTCCACTTGTACAGTTATTTTTCCTTTCATTCGAAGTCTCAAAAGCTCAGTCCACCTTCTTCAGAACAATTATTTGAAGACTAATGTGACTTTGTCACTCCTCTCTCTTTTTTTTCTCTGTTTTGGGATATCTCTTATATGTAGTAGCTAGACAGGAAATGTGCTGAGTTTCCCTAATACAGTTTGTTACTTACAAATGAGATTTTTTAAAATTTTAATTTGTATATTTCCACATTGGAAAATATTCATCTACATATTTGAATTTCTAACCTAAATTTGAAACCCAAAGCTTTTCAAAAAAACTTGTATAGGAAATTTTCTGCCTATTTGGTTTGAAGTCTGAACACATGGGTACCTGCACATTTCTAAACTAGGTACTGTATCCAGGAGCCCCGAGTGTGAAAGATTTTGTGTGTGTGTGTATGTGTGTGTGTGTGTTCTAGAGTCATATAGAAAGTTTCCTATTGAACTAATTGTGTCTTTCTTCCATTTTTCATTTTTTTTTTATCAGTTCTTCCTGGGAAATCAGGTATAAACCAGTGGAATGTATTCTCAAGTTCCCAATGATTTTTTTTTAACTTTAATTCATAGCCATTAAAGCTTGCCATGGCCAATCTTTCCCATGCTGTTGCCCTAGCTACTACATTGTTGGTTGGCGTGGTGTTTCTGTAAATGCTGTAAGGATCCTTGATCCAGGATTCCTTTTTGCAGTGTGTCTTAAATGAGGAGATTACTTTTAAGCAAACCAGATAATAAATTGTAGCTTGACTGGTCACAGTGTTGCAAATGCAGTTTTTAATTCCAGTTAATAATAATATGTTATATGTATTTTATGCAAATACTCATTGGAACACAAATTTGATTCTGCACACATCTCTACACTGTATTTAACCATTGAGGTCACATGGTCTACAGTAGCTAGAGAAGGACCAGCGTCAGGCAATGACGTGGGAAGACAGAGAAGTGAGAAGTCTCCCTGGCACTCAGCCACAAGTAATGTGTTCTCTCCAAAGCAGCTATTGTCCTATTTGTCCTAAATCATCAATTTTAGGGATTTGCATTTTCCAAGTAGAAATTTTAACTCTGGAGGTTTTAACTGGTATCATTCATTTTGAGGACATGTATCTCCCATATGAAATCCTAAACCATGCTTTATCCCATTTTGACTTCACATTGAAGTCAGTATAAACTGTCCAGTGGCACTGTATCATGATCACAAATTCTAGAACTAAAGATAAGAGAAATTGTGTTTTGATTTAAACAAAGGAGAAGAGTTCTTCCCTGTATGCTTTTGGAAAGAAGCATACTATTTGTAATACCTGACCATATCATATTAGATATTCCTCTGCCTCTCAGTTGTTAAGCCATATTGTAGCTTAAGTTTCAAATTCCCTTTTACTCCCATTTATTGCAAGCACATAATTTTTTCAAATAGAAATTTTCAGGTCCTTCGAATTAATGTCTTTAAAACTTGGCATTAAGTAAAATATATAAAAAGTTACTGTCCTGTTCACTTATTATTATTTTCTGAGTTAGCAATTGGGGTAGTATTTTTTATTTGTGGAAAGGATGAGAAAAATGCTCACTTTAAATGGTTTTATTTACTGAAAACACAAAGAGCAACATTAATCTATTTTATTCTTACATCACAATTTGGCTGTTAGGAAAATTAGAGAAATTCTGAAGGCAATGTTATTGTCTAGAAAATACATTCTCAAAATAAAAATTTATATTTATTAGACTTGAAATATCTCTATAAAATAGTAATTCTCCTTTTGTTTTGAACATAATCTTGGATTGAAAGTATCTTGTCTAATTATCTGGTTTCTTAAGGGTAATTTTCTTTAAATCCCTTCCTTTTCCTTTGCTTATTAGCAGCACCAAATTTTTTTCTAACAAAATAAATATATATTTTAATTTCAAAATTTTAATTTACATTTCAGGAACCGGTTCAATTATAAGAGAGTTTAAATCTCAAGGCTTGAAAATGGACTACTTTAGAAATAGCAATATAAAAAGGGTTGATGTAAAACGCATGAGTTCCTGCTGGTGCATTTTACATGCTTTCCAGGTCCTTTTGAGTTTCAGGGTCATGGGTTGGCTTTGTTTTAGGTTCTATTCCTGAAACTCAATGTTAAAGCATATTGAAAAGCAGCAGATTGTTTTGTATTTAAAGTGAAGTTTTCTGTTTACCCATCATGAGTCCAGACAAATAGTCAAAGTCACAATTGCATCTTACCTGCCTTTAAAAGAAACTATGTTTACTTGACTGTTCATTTTGCTATGGTATCTGTTGAGTTGGCAACCATGAAAATCAGTATGGTGATTTTTACAAGCTGAACATGAGCCTATTAGAAATGATTTCAAAGTATAAAATTATTTCTCATGGGCTTTCAAAACAAATCTTAGGATCAAAAACTATCTGTACTCTAGACGGTTATTCCAGACTTGCAGAATTTGTAGCATATCCAAGTGATTGGAAATCCATTGAAAGGGTAAGAACACAATTGCGTATTAGTGTCAGTAATTATGGTACAAACAGCTTTAAGACAAAGCCTTTTAGATTCGAAAGCTGTATCACTAATAATGTGTCACTGGCTGTTCTAATATTACAGTAATCCAAAATGGCACACTAATCCAGCCTTTGACAGATTGGTTTACCAGATCATTAGTGATCCAGAGATTTCATTTGACTGTGAAATTTTTGCTGGTCATGTTCATTTACTGCTTTATCTCTCTAAAGTCAAAACTGCTCTTAGGGAAAACCGAATGAGCTTATGGAGATTATTCCTGCAGATTTCAGTGGAAAATAGTTTTAGTATAAGAGGAAGTTTTAATGAAGAAGAATCAGAGTTTACTAAACTTTCTTTAGAATCTTATTTTGTATAAGCCCTGGCAGGTGGGCCAGTGCTTATTTTGATGTCTGTGTTTAATTTCTAGAAACATCTTTCAATTACTGCCTTACTAATGTTTCTATCATAAAGAAAATTCATTTCTGGAACAAAGCTTCAATATTACACTTGATAACCTTGGTAGCTTTTTTCAAACTGTTTCCTTTGGGCTAAATCAGCATGCAGCAGTCTAACGCAGATCATTTCAAACCCCTTTTTATGAGATTTTACTAATCGCTGTGAACTAAGCAAGAAATTTAAGTTGGTTGCTTAAGCTACTGCAGATTGCATATCATCCTTAGGTGTTTAGCCTTACTGTTGACAATTAGAGGTTCTGTCTTTCATCTTCACAGTTTGGGGACTCCCAGCAGCTGAGGCTCGTTCGAATCCTACGAAGTACCGTAATGGTTCGTGTTGGAGGCGGATGGATGGCACTTGATGAGTTCTTGGTGAAAAATGATCCTTGCAGGGGTAAGGAGATGCTATGTTATGATAATAATACCATGAAAGTATACCAATTTTGTATTACTTCCCAGCATCAAAAACATGCTGGGTCTAATTTTGGTTATTTATTACGGTAATGAACATTTCACATTGGTCTCTGTCAGCCTAAAGTTCCCAAAGAACTTTCGGCAATCATGTAAACCATGTTCTTCTCATTTTTTTTTTCTTACTTCTTCTGGATAATTATGAGAGTGATAGACAGGAAATCCTAGAGTAGATGTATTCATTTTTTAATGAAATGCTCCCATATGCAGTTTTCAAAGTCAGTAATTACATCAACTAGGGAAAAGAGTTCATCTGTCATTAAATAGCAAAGTAAAATGAAAGGAAACTGAGGTGAAGAAGACTGAACATGCTGGATGGTAAAAGTTTAAAAGTGAAAGTTTTTTTTTTCCTTTAAATTGGGGGAAGGTAAGGAAAGTAATACCTAAACATTTAAAAATTAATTATCAACTGCTAACTTGACGCTTACTTGGAAGCTGTAGGTTAGCACATTAAAAATATAAACATATGCTACTGTATAGCTCACTCCATATCTACCAGCCACAGAGTCCTTGATTATCTTTTAATTTTCCTTATCTTTCAGATCCCATAGTCGATTTTGGAATTCTTAAGTGATTTACCTTACAAATGGTCATTTGATTGCAGTTTCTAGTTAGGTCCCCTTTACTTAGTAGGTCCATTTTTCTTTGAAAAAAGGAAACAATAAAATTCTGTGATTTTCTTTAACCTGTGAGCTCATTTTACTCCTCTTAAACAAACAACCACAAATGTTTGTGCTGATACTGATAGGCTACCCTGCGGGAGGCCGGGGTTCTTCCGGTGGGGCCTGTTTGTTAATTTAGTGCTGGCACCTGGATGCACAGGTGTATCAGAGTGAGCCCTGCTCTGCCAAGGGCACCTTCGATCAGCATACAACCCTACAGGTAGCTCTGCTCTCTGCAAGTCACAGATACACCCCAAAAAGAGGCAAAATAACAAAAACTCCCTTTCTTAGTAAATGCAGCCTGAAGTAATGTACCTTCATTTATGAAACAAAGAAATGAGAATGTGTAGCATCCTGTCGAGTTTCTTAGAGAGGCTGTCGTGGCTGCGGCCAAGTCTTCCAAATAGGTTTTTCTTATGGAGTCAAATCTCAGAGTGCTTCTTTTCCTGATGCAACTTTTCTTCTAAAATGTGTGCTAAAAGCCGGATCTGAGCACCCTTTGCATATTCAACTACTGTACTTTGTTTCTTCTCTTGCTAACAGTATTCTTTAATGTGATTGGTATCCTGTGTCATTTTTTCTAGTTCATCATCATGGGAGTAAAATGTTACGTTCGGAATCAAACTCTTCAATTACTACTACTCAGCCTACTATAGGTTGGCAACCCCTCTCTTTGCCTCTCCCCTCTTACCTTTTCTCTTTCCTACTTTTACATTCTCGCTTTAATCATTTGTTTTAAGATAACACGCTTCATCCATCGCGTATGGCTTAACTCATATCCAACTGAGCTGGTGCTTCCAAATTTAAATTCTGAACCGTTGACACACTTCCGGTGTGTTGCACACGTAGGTGTTCTGTAAGTGATCAAACACATGCTAACACGTTGCTCATTGGGTTCTTGTGGAGTGTTCTCCGTGTGCATATGTGTTTGTATGAGTGTTGCATCACTGATTATCTCCTATCCTTGGGTCTGGTGTTTGTTATTTGCATGTTGGTTAAACAGACTTTTTGGAGGCATAAAATAAGAATACTAGTTGCCTCATTTAAGTGAAGAACCTGAGAGTTTATATGTTGTCATCATGATTAACAAGCCATCTCTCATTCTGTGTAATTCTATTGTTTAATTAATTCCAGTGTTAAAAAACTGGCATTCTCCTTACCTCAGTAGTACATGCAAAAGACACAGTCCCCGCCTTACTGGCTTGTCTTCTCAGTGTGCAGAAAGGGCGATGAAACCATGTGGGCATCAGTAGCTGGTGGATTAACAATATTTTAGCATGAGCTTTCCATTTTCATGCTGACTCTTTCTTTAATAGTGGTTATTCTTGCTGGTGTCTAGTGTTAGAATAAACACACTATTTTTTTTTCTTTCCCAAACTTACTTGTATCCAAAAGGAATGCATTGTAAAGGAATGCATTTAACTTTTTGTTATGCTGAGTTGGAGTTGGCATGGCAAAAAGATGTTCTTGAAATCCTCAACTTAATCTGTGGTGCCAGCTGGTTGTTCTTCCCGTAAATTGATTGAGCATCTCTTTTTTCTCCCCCTTCCTCTTTTGCTTGTGTACCTCGTTGTGTGACACGTAATGCAGCCAAAGGAAGGACAAACATGGAACTTCGGGAGAAGTTCATTTTAGCAGATGGTGCCAGTCAGGGTATGGCAGCCTTCCGGCCCCGGGGCCGAAGATCGCGGCCTTCGTCACGAGGAGCTTCACCCAACCGCTCAACGTCTGTGTCCAGTCAGGCTGGCCAGGCGGCCTCTCCACAGGTCCCTGCCACCAGCACACCCAAGGTAAGACTCAGCTGGGAAAGGTTGTCTTTCTCCCATGCAGTCACTGTCTCCGGTATACTTTTGAATGTTTTGGGACCCCAGCATTTGAAGGACCTGCCTTCTCCATTTGTATCCCTTCTCACAATATGACGCACAAAGGATTTAAAAACATGTATCTACATATGTGCTTTTGCCTTGTGGCCCATATGGAGACTGTCTATTTAGGGGCTTTGGTTACCTTTCAGATTGGTTTTTCTTTTTAAATAAAGCTTTATTTTTTTTATTTTATTTTTTTGATGTATATAATTTGCCGTTCAATCTTTCCACTTATTTTTAATCGTTATCATTCTTACTGTGAAACATTACTCTTTGCTATGAATATCTCTTTCTGTGGTTTGTTTTTTATCTGCTGTCCTTTACATTTGATTTGCCATTGTTCCATACAGATTCTCCATCCTTTAACACGCAATTATGGTAAACCATGGTTGACAAACAGCAAAATGTCAACTCCTTGTAAACCAGCAGAGTGCTCAGACTTTTCCGTGCCGTCTGCAGAGGTATCGTAAGGCCCAGATTCTAGTCTAACAGTCTTCTTTAACTGAAACTGTCACCCACTAACATTGCTTTACCTCTCCCTTAACACATGCACTTTTGATAATACCACGTCTTTTTACAGACTTCTATAAAATAATAAACAACTCCGCATTTCTGGGAAGACATGAGAGTGTCTTTTCTCTCTTGGGAGAGTGAAATACGGGAGATTATATTAGACTTATGTCAAGTTTCTTTTAGAGCTCATGGTATGCTTGTGCTTCTAGACATTATTTGGGCAAGAAATGCAACAATACCCCTTCAGGTGAGAGTGAGAGTCAATGTCATTTACAAGTATTTGCTTAAAAGAATATTTATTAAGTGTAGACTGTGAGGAAGGTCCTTCCAAATGTATGCTACATTTATTTCTGCACAAGAACACTGGGTGGGTAAGACATAAAAGCCTTTTAGTTTTCAGTGGCGGGGGGGTGGCTTAGGTATGAAAAAAGTTATCTGGCATTTTCAATAGGTATGTGTCTTTATTAGACTTTAAGGATTATTATTTAAGTGTGCTTCAGCTTTTTATATGGCAGGATTTATGGAGATAAGATATTTAGGTCATGTAAAATGTGCCCAATTAGCTCATATATCAGACAATTTCATTCAAGTGAAAATCAACCAAATATATTTGAAAGAAAGTTCTCTGTAAAATGACACACACATAGGTATCAAATGATCACATACTTGATTAGAGGTACAATAATTGGGGTGATGTCCCTAAATAACTTTGCTTGAAATGAAGTCCAGGACCCTTTTATGAAAGTCATATATAGTACCTGTAAAAAGCCCTGTATGCTTTTCAAAACACTTTCTAATCTATTATTTAATCCTCACATCAGTAGTAAGAGGTAAGCAGAGAAAATTTCATTACTCTCATGATTCAAAATGTCATTACTGGTAATGGTAGAATTGAGGCAGAAACAATCCATTCTTCAATTCTTCCTCATTCCCTGACCCTTCATTTCCACCCTGTCACTTATGGTGAATCTAGTGTAACAAAAACTGAGAACAGTTCAAGAGGCCTCAAGCAACATATATGTTTTAAATATTTAGGGCTATGCTGCTATGTGCCAATTTTTTTAAAACTAGAGATTCCCCCAGATTAGAGTTTAAGTATGTTATTTAAACTACTATAAAACTATGTTTCATTTCAAATAGCCTCATTAGACAAAACAACCAAAGAGAGAAAACAACTAAGGTATATACCTCTATGGAGGGGTCTGTGAGAATCCTAGGTAGGGTTGGTGACCCTAAAATAAGAGCAGTCAAGGCCTTCCGAGAAGAATGATGTTACATGGCAATGAATTCTGCCACCTTGGGTGATATGTTTCATAATTTGGGGGTCCTCACTCTTTTGTGGGTTGTCAAGATTCTTTTAAACTTAGGAATTTAACTAGATGAAAGTTGTCAGATCTTGGGCAGATCACTGCCCTCCTCAGGCCCTCATTTTTCACATTTGCCAAAAAAGTTGTGATTAGGGGAATGTAAGGATTAATTATCCTTACATGGATGAAAGTATTTTGAAAAGTTAAGGTTTTTTTAAATGTTTATTTTGAGAGAGAGCGAGTAGGGGAGGGGCAGATAGAGAATCCCAAGCAGGCTCTGCACTGTCAACATGGAGCCCATCACAGGGCTCAATTCACAATCTGTGAGATCGTGACCTGAGCCAAAATCAGAAGTCTGATGCTCAACCTACTGAGCCACCCAGGCGCCCCGAAGAGTTAAGTTATATACGTATACAAATCACATATTAATTCTGTCCTTAAATGTATGTATAGAATACATATGTAAATGAATTTTGAATATTACATTTATATTAAATTGCAACTCTAATATATCAAAATGTCTTACATACACTTCATTACACGTTTACAACTAATATGAGAAAAACTAATTTTAAAAAAAAATGGACACATGGGGTGCCTGGGTGGCTCAGTTGGTTGAGCGTCCGACTCTTGATTTCAGCTCAGGTCATGATTCCAGGGTCGTGGGATCAAGCCCCACATTGGACTCTGCACTAAGCATGGAGCCTGCTTAAGATTCTCTCTCCCTTTGCCCCTCCTGCCCACTCATGTTTGCTCACTCTGTTTTTAGAAAAAAAAATTTTATTTAAAAAATGCCCATATACACCTGTTGGGATGAGCACTGGGTGTTGTATGGAAACCAATTTGACAATAAATTTCATATTAAATAAACAAATAAAAATAAATAAAAATAAAAAATGCCCACATAATTTGTACAGGTTCATTTCCTCTGAGCAGCTCCCTGTGAGTTCATTGAGGCAAGTGACATCCCTTATACTTCATGGGAGGTTTGCTTATTTTGTTAACTTTGGGGAAATTTTCAGAATGTTGTAGTGGTCTGGAAAAAATGCAGTGATTTTAGGCTCATAATAAAATCTCATGGTTGTGATTGCTTTAGGCATTCTCTGTGAACTCCTATAAGAATTTTTAAAGAATTTTCCCTAAGTGTTGCCCACGTGTCTCCTGCATAAAGACCATAGAAGGAAATGAAAGTAGATGAAGTGATGTGGTACCAAGTTGTAAAATGTCACTGCCTCTTTTTTGCAGTTAAGTTTGTTTAAATGAAGACTGTTGAGGCATCATTTACTTATTGTTCTGTCAGTTTATTTCTGGCTGGTTCCCTAAAAGCATTGGAGGCACCAGAATATCCAAGCACAGCTTTTTCAGAGTCCCATTCTCTCTCTGTACCATGCACTCCCTACCTTTCTGGCAAGACTCTTCTAACTCCATAATGTTCACTGACAACCTGAAAGATACTAATGTGCTCACCGGTTTAATTTGCCTTTTTTTTCCCCTTGCTATCCTTTGGAGCTCTATTTCTGTGTTTTCTCTTCCGTATGAATTCCTTTTTAACTCAGGGAGGGAATAAGGAATGAGTGGGAGGAAGCAAGTGGAGAGAACCCCATGCCACGTCTAATCGAAAAGCCTCTCCCACTCCCCCTCCTGAGGAGGCCCAGTGCAGGGGCTTCCACCAATCTATAATGTGGTGTCAGTGGAATATCGTGGAACAGGAACGATTTCTTGAAATGTCCTTTCACTGATTAAATACAGGGAACACCAATACAAGGAAGCAAGCTTCGACTTCCAGGATATTTATCAGGGAAAGGCTTCCACTCTGGGGACGACAGTGGCTTGATAACCACCGCAGCCGCCAGAGTCCGAACACAGTTTGCTGGTAAGTGTGATGTGGCTCTTTCTGTGATAGCTTTTTGCGGTATGATCTGAAGGTGAAAGTCCCTGTTCTTCTTCATGGCGGATGAAATAACAAATTGACAGTGCTGTATTCTTTCAAAATGACACATAGCCCTGTCCTCCAACAACGGTAGGGGATAAATGACAAGAAAATCCCTTTTGGAAAGTACCAAAGGAAGATGAGCATAAAAAAAACTAGAGCAGTATCCTATCCCTTTACGCTGGAAGCTCTTGGCTCTTCTGTCTGCTTACAAATTTCCTGGGCTCCATTTTGGGTGGTTGGAAAAACCCAACTGGACTGGGCCTTAAACCCGTGCTAGTCCTGCTTCTTCACAGAATAGTGAACCTGGTCCCTGGGGTTGTGGGCTCAGCAAGGATGAAGTTTCTTTAAAATTTCAAGACTTCTCTTTTAAATTCCTCTGTGCTTCAAATTACTTATCCTCGGGTAAAGCGTTTGCCCCATGTCTGCTCTGCACACATCCCTAGGTACACATGTTAAACTATGGAAAGCATAATGTTAAATTCTAGGTATATTCCTTATATCTGTTTGTAGGAAATGGAATCCTGTCTAAGCCCAAACCTACCTTTTGTCTGTAAGCCTACCTTTTTGTATATTACATCGACTTAGAGTGAGGCTACCGACCCTAGTGGAATGCAGAAAGGCCACGAATCCACAAGTGTCTGCTGAGTGCCTGCTAGGTGACAAAAAAATGTGTTGAGATTAAAGGTGGCATTAGGTTTCAAGAATGTGTTGTCGATGGACCCGGGAATGAGGGTGGTTCAACTCCGTCCTCTCTCCTCAGATCCCAAGAAGACTCCTAGCCGACCAGGAAGCCGAGCCGGAAGCAAAGCTGGCAGCAGGGCCAGCAGCCGCCGAGGCAGTGATGCGTCAGACTTTGACATTTCGGAAATCCAGTCTGTGTGCTCAGACGTGGAGACTGTCCCCCAGACACACAGGCCTACGCCCCGAGCAGGTTCTCGGCCATCCACAGCCAAGCCTTCCAAAATCCCCACGCCCCAGAGGAAATCACCTGCCAGCAAATTGGACAAGTCCTCAAAGAGATAGTGCAATTGGTTCCACCGCGGCCCTTCCTTGAGCATTTATTATTTAAGTTTGAAAGATGTAAAATATGATGTAGAAATTATTGTGAAATAATTGCAAGGAGTTGAGTTTAAAATTCTGCAGATGGCCTTATTTGTGTATTTGTCTTCTTATTTTATCTGTATAATTTCTTGTCAGATATTCTGGGGATTAAAGTCACATCATACGTGAGGGGGAGGAAAGAGTCTAACATGCACTAACATTTCCGCACTGTAAGGTGTGGAGCACACACTAGAATCGGTGACTGTACCTACAGGTAAGTCCTCATCCTCTCCGACAGCCACAGCACGACAGCCGCAGCTAACGTTAAGGATACCTCATGACATTTTCTTGCTTTTGTAGACACTCTGAGAAGCCAAAAGACACACACCAGGCATACATTTTGAGATCATTAAAATGTAAACTAAAAGGGGGAGGGCAGACAGACGAACACAACCACGTACAGTTCTTTAAGCAGTGTCTGACAGAGAACTCACAGGAAGTTACTTTAGGCACTTGCCAGTGCTATGACATTCAAGAACCTTACAGCATTTCTGTGCCATCGCTTCACATGAGGCCAGAGGTGTCCCGGATATTAGACCTATTATACTGTAAGAATATAATTATAAAGTGCATTCATATAAATGTGAGGTTTTCTTTTGCTTGAGTGGACAGTAGCACCTGTATCATTGAACTCATTTTGTATCAAAGCAATTTTGCTTGCAGAAAGCTATGAAATAAAACATGTCCCTTAACTACATTGCTATGGAATTAATTTTTTTCCCCAGGGAAAATCCGTGTATTTTTTTATGAGCAATATCAATTTGGAGTGACCAAAAGATACTTAAAAATGGGTTTATTTTGATTTCTCATCTGAAATAATCATGTTCTGGTATTATATCTATATTTAATAAATATATACATTTTAATTTATTATGTATACTCACATACTATAGAAAGATATTAGTATGCATTTAATAAAACCTATTCACTTGAACATGTGGAATACCTGATTATTTAAAGAACTTTTTCTATCGTTTGTTTGTTTTGAATAAAGGTTGTACGTCTGATGTATTTTTACTAATAGTGTGACAGGGTAAGTTTGGGGGGCATCAAAACACAGGGACACAATAAGGTATGTACTAAGAATGACATTAACATATATTCAGTATTCTACAAATATTTTTAGTACCAACCGTGTGCAAGCTCCTGTGTTCCCCTGAGGCTGTAGGTTCCTTGCTATCTTCTATTCAAGGGGGAAACAGTTCATCAACAAGCAAATCACTCAAATCACTAAAAAACGTGAATTAAAACCAGGGGATGTGTGACAGGGTGCTGATTTTATTATTAAGGCAATATAGCGATATTTTTCTGGCCTGTGTACATTTAAAAATGGAGTGATCAAATTTTCCTAAATACAAAAAATGGCCATTAGAAGAATGGCCAATCCTGATTAGGGCGTGACAGGTTATGACTCTCCCCAGAACTCCGTAAATTTATATCAGTAAATGTTGTTAAGGCTCAAGGGGATAGTATTATGTTTTCCCTGCTTGGCCTTGTTCACAGAGGCCAACAGAGAAGGGCCTGGAGTCTCCACTGACAGAAATTAGGTGCTGCTTTTAAGTGATAGTAGTTCCTTTTCTCTCCAAGCATGGGTCTCAGGTGGGAGTCCTTGATGGAAAAGGGTAATCCTAACCTAACAGATCACGTGTTGACATTCATGCATTTATAAACATGTCATCCGAGAAAGCAGTGGGAATTGTCCTTATTCCTTCGGTGATTTGCGTGTGATCACATTTCTACTTCAAAGACAAATTTAAGGGAATGTTTTTTATCTCAGCCTCTTTGAATGCCACCCCTGTTAAAGACCTGGGGATTTTGCTCTCTCTCTCTCTCTCTTTTTTATAAGTTAAATAAGCTTTTGAAGAAAGACAAGTGGTTTAAAATACTTCAGAGAATTCTTAAGGAACTGCTCCTAGTTATCAGCAGTTGCCCTCATGGGGAGCTTTTCAAACTTTGATGCCTGATCTTTGTTTCCTCTTGAACTAATCCTTTACCCACAGGTTGACTTCTGAAGAGTCCCCCCATAAATTTCAGGGAATGTAACAGACACACCTCTTTCCCTACACACACACCTTCTTCCTTTTCCTTGTCTCTTCTTTCATTTTTCTCTCTTTTTCTTTAAAAAACATGACATTGAGGGGCGCCTGGATGGCTCAGGCTGGAAGAGCCGCCCCATTTTTCAGCTCAGGCACGATCCGCCAAGGGGTCCGTGAGTTCGGCTCCGCCTGCCAGGCTCTCCCAGAGCCTGCCTGGAGCCTGCTTTCGCTGATAGTTCTCCTCTTTTCCGCCCCTCCCCATTCATGCCTGTTCTTCTTTCTCTGTCTCAAAAATAACAACAACCAAAAAAAAAAAATGAAATGAATCTCAACTCTAAAAATCTTTTTTTTTTAAATATTTATTTTTGAGAGAGCACAAGTGAGGGAGGGGTAGAGAGAGAGGGAGACAATCTGAAGCAGGCTCCAGGCTCTGACCTGTCAGCACAGGGTCTTTGTGGGGCTTGAACTCCTGAACCACGAGGTCATGACCTGAACCAAAGTCGGACACTTAATGGACTGAGCCACCCAGCTGCCCCATCAACTCTAAAAATCTTAAAAGTTTGGTTCTGTTAAAAGATAAATTAATTTTTTAAAAATATTTATGTATTTTGAGAGAGAGCATGAGTGAGGGAGGGGCACAGAGAGAGAAAGAATCCCCAGTAGGTTCCCAGCTGTCAGTGCAGAGCCTGACGTAAGGCTCAATCTCAGGAGCCATGAAATCCTGACCTGAGCTGAAACAAAGAGTCAGACGCTTAGCTAACTGAGCCACTCAGGTGCCACAAACTGAGGAATTTTTATAAAACTTTTAGGAGTTTTATAAAACCTTTAGGAGTTTTGTGGTGCCTGGGTGGCTTAGTTGGTTAAGTGTCTGGCTCTTGGTTTCTGCTCAGGTTACTTATCTCTACGGTTCAGCTGCTTCCGTGTTGGCCTCTTCGTTGACAGTGTGAAGCCTGCTTGGGATTCTCTCTCTCCCTCTCTCTCTCTGCTCCCCCACTTGGGCACTCTCGCTCTCAGAAATAAACATTTTAAAAACAATGTAGGGGTTTATTTGAGCAAAAATCTATTGGAATCAGCACCAAACTGGAAGTGGTTCGGAGTGCTCCACTGACAGGAGCTCGGGAGAGATAGAGAGTAGACAAAAGCAAGGAAGGAAGGAAAGTAAGGAAATTATTGATTGACTATAGCTTAAGCCCTAGTTGGCCGTTTGTAATTGGTTGTCCTTGGTATTTTGATTTTTTAAAATTTTTTAATGTTTTATTTATTTTTGAGAGACAGAAACAGCATGAGTGGGGGGAGGGGTAGAGAGAGAGGGAGACACAGAACTCAAAGTGGGGTCCAGGCTCTGAGCTGTCAGCACAGAGCCCAACGTGGGGCCCGAACCCATGAACGGTGAGATCATGACCTGAGCCAAAGCCAGACTTAACTGACTGAGCCACCTGGGCATCCCAAGGTATTTTGATTTTTAACGTTGAGGCATTTACAGGCTTAAACTTTGGTTTGCTAAGTTAGGCCATTAAGACATTAGAGCCACCTTGGCCTAAAGGTCTCCTTGTTTAAATAACAGTTCTTAAGCACTAGGGAACCATGGAGTAGCTTTTTTGTCTTAAAAAATCAAAACTTACTAGTTCTGATGTACTGCTACCTTGTTTTGAAATAATGGAGCATCCTCTTTGATTTCAGTGCAGAACTAGATGGGCCTGGCCAAATATCAGATCTGGTTCCTTTTATGGCACATGCTGGTGGAAGGGCTTGGGAGGTGCCCTGTGACTGTCAGGAATTGACCTGTAAAGCTGAAAAGGAGGAGAGACTAGGAAAGGATGTTGCTCCCCCCCCCCTTTTTTTATCCTTGTAAAACTTGCTTTCAGCATTTACAAGGGAAACTGTAATGTAGTGCAATGATTTACTCCTTTTTTGACAAGATGCTTTGAAATGCATGTGCTTTATTGTCAATTGGGTGAGGAGATAACCACCCAACAGTACAAGTGCCCAAGCAGTTGTGTGCGTATCTGATGACACTGCCACTTGGCCGTGACTTACCTTTGGGGGTCCCACAAAGAAGACAAGGATGGACACTGTGTCTTTAAGTACTTTAATAAGTTCCCTTCAGTCATGTTAGGGATTGACTTCATGCTTATCAAAATCTACTGGGAAGAGAATAGAGTCATGGGTAACACGTTTGTGCAAGAAATAGTTCATATGACGAAAATCTGACAACCTACCGAATTCTAAAACTTGGGTTGATTTTATGTAATTTCAGAGCCTATGGAAATGTTGGCTATCTAGTTAGGATGAAGGATGACAAAAACGGAATTCTTTCTGCTTCCAACATGCTAAGACTATATGCAAAGCAAAATGTGTTCAAAGGGATTTTGTATTGTTTTACCACACTTCTATTATACTCCATTATTTGAAATTAAAAGACTGCATAGGATATGAGAATAGAGATTAAGAAGCTTTCAAAAGTTATCCTCACCTAAAAACAAACCATTCGTTTAGAATATTACTAAAATATAACTACTTTTACCCCAGGGCAAAGACTAGGATATTTAATTCCCAGGGCCTTATACTCTAACTTCCATGCCCGTGGTCTCCAGCCCTCTTTGATGGCATATTTCTATCAATAAAAGTTTTTTGAGCAAACCCTTCCAATATATGCATGTTAATTTCTTCCAAGGTATTTCTTGCATGTATTTTATCATTAGCTAATTTTGCAAGGCTCAACATAATCTTAGAGTATGATCTATCTTTAACAACATCAATATAGGTATATGTACATATTTGAAATAGACAACGTAAATGTTCGTGAAGGTTAGTTTCCTCCTCTTTCTTTTAAACAAAATGGAATTCGAAATAGATATCCTATTTTCCCACATCCCCTGCGGTCAC